CATAGTCTTGTCATGTACGCTTGTACTACTTGAGAAATATATACCACAACTCTGAATAGCAGATATCTGTATCTAGAAGGTATCATCCCCCTGAGATCAATGTCGGAGTTCCGCAGCGCGTCAAGGCACGGTGTCCCTCCGACGCAGGTACCCTCTAGAAATATCCGATCACCATTCTACGTTCACGCTTTGTTTAACTAACCATAACACTTTGAATGGAGACCGAAGCCACATAGTTCCCCGTAGATGGTGTGAATATGATCTTCGGAGAAATACCCACATGCCCCTATCATCAAACTATATTGTGTATTTCAAAGTTGATAAGAAGACACCCCAACTCAGCTCGGCACTGCCTTTCGGCATAGTACCACGTCAATCACTGCAGGGGTTGAGACCCAAAGTTAGCACCCGGTCAAGTCTCTCTTGATGTTCCTGTTTTAGCTAAGCTTTCTAGAACTTGACAATTTAGGGCTCAAGGGGACCCCCTTTTTGGGCTCGTAGGGCGGCGAACTCCTAGACAGATATGAGCTTATATCTTTTGAGATGCAACTTTCGAAGCTAAATGTCCGTGTCACTACCAAGGGGGAGGCCGCTTAACACTGTACCTCTCAAGGCGTTGCCACTTCTGGGGAGTATCAGTTTCTGGGGTGCCGCATCTGTCACAAATTCGTTTTTGCAATCGCGTCAGCAGTGCACTGACAATATGGGGGTCAGATGGGGACGTGATGCGGTAAAAGTCCGCACCGCACAGTTTCACGTCCTGGTTCTCAGCCTTGCCTAGCACCAAGATGCTATATTTACCGACATACATACATATGTAACCAGACTTGGTTGTATGAATCGAAATGTCTGCCCACCCCAGACTACCAAAATAACCGACGTCAAGACTAGAGAAAATAAAGTCGCGACAGCTCGACCTTTGTCGAAGACCACTGGCGTTGGGCTGAATCAAGGCCCACAACTCTCATTTTAACCATGTCCTTTGGCTTATTGGCTTACCGTCGTATTCCGTTAGCTTGCTGCGAACCCTGGCTCCAGCCCAAAAGCCAAGAATCAGCCCTTCGTTCAGCTTCAACTTTTTCTTTTGTTTTCAAGGTGGGCCCAGCCCTATTGGTTAGCGCATGACCGGAGAAGCTTGACCGGAGAAGCTTTGCTCTTGGCATTTCTTCATCTGAATGCCAGCGTTTGGTCTGAAGTTGCGCTGGACTTTCATCCAAGCTTGGCAAATGATGAAACTTGTTTGGATAAAGAACTTTTTAACGAACGTTCTTACCGGTAGTTGATCCATGCTCCATTAATGGCGTGCTTCTCTGGAGGAGTGGCTCTAAGAAGATCTAGAACCAAGATAAGAGTAACTAAGATGCAGTCTAGTTGTGTGAATGAGCAGGGTTGCATTGTATAGCTCATGCAGACCGCCAAGCGAACCCTCCTTCAAACTATTGCCGAGCTAACAGATGACAACATTGCACGTTTCATTTTGCGTTGGCTCTTCACAACTTGAGGCTATTCTTACCGACCGAGTCTTTGAAGCCTCAAGTCAATTGGATAAAAAAAGAAGAAAAAGGCAAAAAGAAACAGCTTGCTTGTGTCTCCTCCGGGAAGGCTCGAACTTCCAACCTCCTGATTAACAGTCAGACGCGCTAGCCAATTGCGCCACAGAGGACAGGCTTTGATACCTGCTGGGGCTGAGAGAAAGCTGCTATGAACGAATTGACTCCAGATTGCTAGACTGTCTGGCTTCACACTAGCTCATGCCACTCTCTCAAAGTCCCCTGCTCGTATTAGTGACTGGTTGCGGTATTTCACCATGTCATTGGAATTAGATCGGCGATCAAGCTAAACCTTTTTATTATGTTAATTACTATTATGATGATGATTATGATGCTATTTGAGTTGGTATTCTCTTGAGATCATTGAACCAGACATATCGGCTGAGGATCATGTACAGGTGGCGGTCCCACGTATACTGGCTTTCATGACTGGCAAAAGCGCCGCGCGTCATGACATAACGATGCCACGAATTGGCCAACAGAGCCTTTGAGCTAATCTCTGGGCTCGCTTTTGTGGACGGATAAAAAATCGCAGAAATGATTCGCCAGGTGAAGGATAGCGCTGTCAATGGCAAATCGAACAAGAAAGTATATTTCCTGAGAACTGCCGTGGTGACAAGCTTATATGCTGGAGGAGCATCTTTGTCCGCCAACACATATTCACTATACAACCGTGAGGAGTCAGTGCAAGTTCAAGTAGATGGAGTGCGTTACATCGCTCAGGATACAATGCAAGGAAGTGGCGTACCTAACAGCTGCACTGACAGCTCTGTGGTTGATGTGTCCAGACACACCACCTTCGTCAAAGGTAATTATCTATGCAGTTGGTTAATGTACGTCAGCATCCCACAGTACGTCGAGCTAAGCTTGTGAAAGAGAGGGGGGAAAGGGGTCTTACGGCGTCAACCTCCCACTTCTTGACATACTCCCTCACAATGGCGTGGATGAGGTTTGTATCCCACCACACTCGGGGATTGTCTTGGAGGCTAGGGTGGTTCAATGCCTCGCATCTCGATGGGTTGATACCTAAGGCTTGACATGAGCCTTTTAGCTCTTGCTTGCGCGTCTCGCCTTTGCCATAATTGTTTCCTAAATAGTGGCACACGTCGCAGGTGACGACTGTCTTAGCATAGCCTCGTCTAATGCGGGGGAAATGGAGCCAAGAGGAAGGACAAACTAACCGGTCGACATGACTAGCAACCCGCCATTGATGGCACGGTTCCTATCGAGGATGCCCAGGATGGTGGGCGAGAAAAAGAGGCACTCATCGTCGGGATGTGCCGTCACCACCAGGAGGCTCTTTGACCGTAGCAGTTCCGGCGGTAGCAGGCGTGCATCGCTACCAACGATATAGGCGAGGAATAATTGTAAGACAATAGGGATGACGAGTATGACGATGGCTACCCGAAGCAGAGTGCGGCGTCGGCTTCGCGTGCCCACAAGCCAATAGCAGGCCTTGAAGACTTTGGTATCGCGGATTTTGCGCGCCATGGCCAGCACGTGCTGTGACAAAAATAAAACACAAAAGTCACGAGGGAAACGAGAGGAAGAAGGAAGGGGGATAACAAGAAAAGAGACTGTTTAAGCCGCTTAAAGCGGGACTCGCGAGTTGAAAATGTGCTTGTCAGTGCCCAAACGTTCCAGCTCCTAGTTTGAAGATGTAAGACTGATGAGTAAACTGTGCCAAACTGGGCCTGAACCGGCGTGGCATTGGCATTGGGACCCGGAAACAGCTACACAAGCACCGCCTCATGGGCTTATTCGTTCTGGAACCAGGCTGGCTCGCCGCCACAAAAGCTTGACTGCAGCTTTGGCCCAATCCTGAGCCGTGGGTTACAGAGCCAGGGATCTTATTTCAGGGCGTGCCAATTCGCTGGGGGGCGTGCCACACCGGCCTTCTACCGCAAAAGTGCAACAGGATGAGCAAATGACAAATGAAGTTTGGAACTTTGAGCGTGGTAAGGCAAGGCATTTAGCTCACCAGGACCCGCCCGATCCCTGTCAAACCAGTGATGACACTTGCAGGCTTGATATAAAGGCACCGGGTACTTGTCCCATTGGATTCGTACCTGCTTCGTACTAGCATGACAAGGACCCTGTTGAAAAGTACAAGTAGTATTCGGGTACCAGTCTCTTGCGGCTCTTTTGCACGAATTCCTCGTGTAACCAATATTGCAAAGCTGAAGCCGATACAACGACACAGCCGCCCCCCACACCCTGAGACAAGCCGTCCATGTCCCTTTCACATGGTCGAACCTGCCAAGACATGGTTCGTTTTTTAAAATCAACAGTCGTATTATAAGCGTATTTAGCCGAGAGCCCCAAGTACCGTACCCGTCTCTACAAAGCATGTGCCGAGCTTCTCATTCCAAGAAAGCCAAGCCTGCGTTCCGGCCAAGACCGCCACCACCCCATGCCGAGATGCCGAAATCTGCACAGCTCCAAGCTCTAATTCGGCAATGATGTTGCATGAGGTGAACGAAAGAGGGTCCGTTTCCCGGGTCGGTACGTGTAATTGCTGCGACGGCCTTACCTGGCACTGCTTGGCGGACTCGCCTGCGTGGTTTTGGCACGCCGCGCGCTTGCTAGGGCTTATTTGGCAGCCCTACAACGAACGAGTGTTTTTCATGCGCATGGCTTGTTACCTTGAGACCAGACCAGAGTCCCATCTCGTTTTTGGGGGCAAATTTAAGCTGCTGATGGGTAATAAGCGATGGGGGTTAGCGTGGCTTCATCATGTCACTCTGACGGGCCAATCCCACGAATGGGCATATCGTGGCGCGCACAGGGTCGAACAAAAGATACAAGGACTTGACACTCTCGCCCTGACTCACTCAGCTTTCTCCATCTCACCAATAGACATGGTCAACTAATAGACAAAGGCCTTGGCGATCACGCCCTGTTCGAAAATATATTCTTGATTAGTAGAAGCGCTCATGTATGTCCCCTGACAACACTTGTCAACCATGTAGACGAGATATTCTTAGTCCGTAAGCACTGTTGAGACAACTCATACTCTGAGCTGCGACCTCATGTTTCAGCATCTCTCATTCAATTCTCTCAATCCGAATAGTACGTACTGTACTGCCACTGGATTAATTTGTCGAACTCTTCTCAGGATTGACGCCGTACAGGGGAAATGGGAGTGGAGGGGTGTAGGATTGGCCCGTAATCACGGGTACGGTTAGCGATCCACGCCAGCTCTTTCGTACTTGGTGTCTTGGCTGTGGGTGCCAGCTCCTTTTTGCAAGGTGTGCATTGTCCAATGACGCGCTACTGAGATTCAACGAGTGGAACGGGGGCTATGTCAGAATAAGAGCGGAAGTACGAGAGGCCCCGACTTTGGTTAGATGAGCTAAATCGAGTAATGGTGTTGCAAGGGCTCTTCGTCCTCAGATTCAAAGCCGCTACTCCAGTTTGAAAACCAAAACAACTCCCTCCTTTTTTACCCACACGCCTCTCTGCCTTGACACAAAACATGTTCAACTAAACTTTAATGTTCAAATAATGCTCCTATTCTTCTAATTCTCTCTTTTCCTGGCGTATTACAACTCGAACAAAAACCTCACCATCGCTCTTTTTCCTTTTCTTTGCTCTCTTCCTGGAACCGAGACACATTCCAGTCACTCATCCATTTGTCTCTCCCCCCCTTTCCTTCCTCTACATCTCCCAACGCTAGTTGTCTAGCATTGGCATCATGATTAAACTACGCGACTCCGGATCTGCCAACGACAAAATCGAAAGAAGAGCGCGAACCTTTCTTTGGCTGGCGATACTGAGTTTCTTCTCAGCCATCTTCTGCTTCCGCCATCTCCTCTACACCTCATGGACGCTGGCCGCCCTCCCACTTCACTGGAGGGCCCATCGCGAAAGTTTCCTCCTCTCACAAGAACGAGATGACTTCGACGTCACATTTTCCAACTACAGTATAAACCAGCTTTCGGCTTCCCCTTATGAGGACCTCGTGCCCCCCGTTTTACACCACATCGCCCTCGGCAGACATGGCACGCAATGGAGGACAGAGTGGAAGGAGACCGTTCAGAGCTGTATCGACATCCACCCCGGCTGGGAAACTCACGTCTGGACAGATGACACTGCCGCTCAATTCGTCGAGGACAAGTTCCCCGACCTCAAGGAGATGTGGGACAGTTACACATACCCCGTTGAACGAATCGACGCTCTCCGCTACATGCTCCTCTATGAATACGGCGGCGTCGTGCTGGACATGGACCTCAAATGCACTCGCGCCCTCGGCCCTCTTCGACGATTCAGTTTCGTGGCGCCTGAAGCTCATCCTGTCGGCTTCTCCGTTGGCTTCATGATGTCCAGCAGGCGCAACAGTTTCGTCGGCGATATTGTCAACAACCTGGCCACTTACAACAAGCACTGGCTGGGCCTCCCCTACGCGACTGTCATGTTCAGCACGGGCTGCCACTATGCCTCGGTCATCCACGCCGCCCAACCTGACCGGAGCAGTCTGAAGATCCTTCCCGGACCGATGCACAGCCTCAACGGGCGGGTAACAACCCCCATATTCGAGCACTTGGGAAGCTCATCCTGGCACTCGTACGACGCTAGATTCATCACGTCGCTGGGCCGGAGGCTGCACCAGGTTGTGTTCTTTTGCGTGGGCGTCGCAGTGACACTGTTGGTCAGGAGGAGATTAATTGTGCGGAGAGTATGGTGTAATTGCATGGGTGATCGGTCGCTCGTATAACAAACACAACCACAAATCACAATCACAAAAACACGGACACACAGCACACAGGTGCACATAGGGCAACAGGCACAACATACGCGAGGTTATGTAGGGTCCAGGAGATAAGGACCTCCCGCGTTTTCTTTTTCGTTTCTTTTATTTCTTCTCATGTTTCACCATGTACATCTATAGTTTGGTTAGTTGTATTTCAGTAATACCCGTTAATAGAGCCTTGGAATATTTTTTTTTGTTTCAATCTATTCAATTCAGCCTCCAATAGTCCAATTCACAGTGACAGAAGATCCTATTCACGACTTAGACACTGGGGAGTCGTCATCTCATTGATTCAGTATGGGTGATAGTTAATTCCGACGGAGATCGAGCCCATACAAATCATAAAAAAAGAGTGACCAGAGCAAAAGGCAAACCACAGGTACCCGGTACTCAGACGAGACTCGGGATACATGCCATGGCTAAGCTTTTTGGATCTGCAGTGCCAAGCTTTTTCGAATCTGGAGCTAAGCACACAAGTCACTCGCAAGTCGAGACTCTGCCGGGACGCGGCCTGAAAGTGCCTTGTGGGATACTTGGCGGGAGGTGCTACCTTAGCACTACCTTAGCACTTGCCTGGGCCTCCGCCGGGGGAAGGAGCTAGTCGCCGTATCGATGCCTGGTCGGGACTAGGCGAGCCCGCGCGCCAGCAAATGGCATCGCGCAGGTGCCATCCAGGCTCCTTCCCGCGGACGTCCCAGGCCGAAGGGAAGGTGCGGCAGACTGAGTTTTCCAGCGGAAGGTACCAGGCGCTGTGTACGGTACCCAGGTACACGAGTTTCTGCCTCATCTTTGTCTCTCCTCCTTTTCCCTTTTCACTTCTCTTCCCCCCAACTCGCCTCGCCTCTTCCACCTCGATCGACTCCATCCAATGCCATTCCCGCATCATCTTTACGTACAAAGTACCGCCCGTCCTTCACCTTCTTCAGCGCCCGGGCTCGGCTGCGCCACTGTTGGCGCCCAAACTACTGTAGTTGCTACGACAGCCGCAGCTTCGGGCCACCGATCCAGGGCTTACCTGTGCCAGTAGCCGAATGAATGCCCCCCCTGCCAGCTCGGAGAAGGGCCGAGAACCACAGTCTGGCCCCTGATTTTATTTGTGTCTGGCGGTGCTTGTAAGAATCTGCGACGTGTTGGATTTTGGCCTTGTTCTCTCTGGGTTCTGGCTCGTGGCTTGTGCTCTGCCTTGCCTTGGTCAAAGCACCCTCTGAGCCTCGCCGGTTTGTTCCAGAACAGAACAGAGCTACTGTTCGTGCGTGTCATCCTGTCAAAAACAGACAGTCGTCTAAATTGTCTCGTATCTCGTGCTTGCTTGCTTTGCTGCAAGTTGTCGGGATCCCCCCGCGAAGGGACTAACTTGTTTGAGCCCACGTGCCTGTGAGCCTTGATTGTACTATCGCCAGTTTGCTGTGCTCGGAGTTACAGCGTCTTTACGAAGGACGTATTCCCGCCGCGTAACAGGTCATTTGATTTGTTCCCATAAGCCAAATCAAATGTTGCTCCCCCATAGTCTGTTGCGCCGGCGGCTGCGGCTCATGCTGCTGTCCGCCCTGGCCTTTGCAGCGGCATTCTGGCTTCTCTCCTCCGGCGGCCAGCGGAAGGAAATCCCCCAGTTTGACGCCCGGCTGCTGGAACAACAGTATCCTTTAGTATGGAAGCACATTCACTCATTCGATGGAGTTGGAGGAGGTAAGCCGCTGTTAACTTTGTGGCGTTCGGGTCTGGTGGCATGACATAACCCGAGTCAAATTCAAAACCACAGAATTGTAACTTTTCTACGAGAGTTTGCTGCTGACATCAACGCCAAGCATGGTACATTCCTCCGAGCTGGCTCGCCGACGACCAGACGCCGCCAACAGACATTGTCGAGGCTGCAAGTCTGGCGTCCACGGCCGCCCTCTTCGCACGCGAACGGCAGGTGGCCTTTTCCAACATTCCACTTCTAATGCATCAGACCGGAGCTTCATCCAAGGTCAACACCTGGAAGCCTGATGTCGTCCCATGGGTCGAGCGGTGGCTTGAGTATTCCACGTCCCCTAACAATAGTGAGCCCATGGCGTACTTCTTTTGGGACGACGAAGGAATCGCCATGCTCATGGATAAGTATGATGAGGGGTTTGTCGAGGACTTTAACGCAATCTTCACCCCCGTCGAGAGGGCAGACATCTTCCGCATTGTGACGTGCCTATACTTTGGAGGAATTGTACGTATTGCTCTTGACGAGGCCATGAGCCGTATTCTTCCCATCTTGAAAATTCAATCGCCTCTAACCCACTGTAGTATGCCGACATTGACACAGAACCTCTCCGGCACCCGGCGGATTGGGTCGGCCCGTCAGATCTTGCTCGATGGATTGATGATATCACCGGTAAAAGCTACGGCTTCAAGAATCCCGAAGAGGAGGCTCCTTCGCCTTCCGCCAATGGCAAACAGCCCGTTAACCTTATCTGGGGGCTTGAAGCTGACACAGATCCAAATACAAACACCTATTGGCGGATGGGATACACGTATCCGATCCAGCTTACTCAATGGGCGCTGGCGTCTGCTCCTGGGCACCCGGCCCTGAAGCAGTTCATGGACAATCTTTATGACGAGGTGGACCTGGAAAAGAATGCGACTATGAATGACCCCAACAGGGCCGACCCTCTCACGCGAACCGGTCCTGCTGCTGTCACGCTGGCTACTCTCCTGTGGCTGGAGCATGACAATGGATTTAGGTGGAACGCCCTAACTGGGCTGAAAGACGGAGGCAAGACGAAGCTCGTGGCAGATGCTTTGATTTTGCCAATTACTGGCTTCAGGTAAATAGCGTTTACGCTTGGCCATTTGTCGTGGAGACTGACACGTTTTACAGCCCCGGTCGCGGATCCTACGGAAACATGGGTTCGAAGCCTATTACGGATCCAGATGCCCGGCTTGTCCATCATGCCTTGGGCTCATGGCGGAAATTCGATCTGCTAGTCGAGTATGGCAAGTTTTGCCGCACAGTACTCGGTCTTTGCAAAGACTGGACCAAAGTCCCGACGCCACAACGCGGATTATAATTTCTACCCCTATACCCAGATTCCAAGCCTCATCGACGACATTACGCTGCATGACTGAAACTTGATATATAATTCTTTAATACGCCGCCTTTGCCCGGTCCCTTTGACTGTTTGGATTATACAGCCCTGCTTCAGACGCCATATAATCGATATATCGAATTTAAGCCGAATATACTTGTACGATACACATCGGAGACGAGAAGAGACTTTTACGCTTTCACACTTGTATCATTATATTACATAGCCGTGATTTACTCCGACATTATTTCGACATGAGCAAACAGAAGCTATCTTTGTCGAAGAATACTATGCTTTGGTATTATTATTTATTTCATTAAGCTATACAAAGCTCCCTATATTTCTTGAATCATGCCCTCTGCTTTATAGCTCATGTGCTATAATGTAATTTGATGTATAGAGCACTGTGGAATGACGAGATAGGGTTAACTATAATAGTAATAAATATGGCCAATCTTGGAATTATAACTTGGTACAAGGCTGAGAGTTACTTAATAGTGCTGTTTAACACAAGTAGTACGTTTTGCTTATCTAGTCAAACGACTTGCCCAGTTTTGTAACATTCAAGTGCTGTTTATTAGACGGATCCAACAAAAGGACTGATAGTCCCATTACACTAGAGTAATATCGGCTCCCCGAACCCACAACGCATCGTATGCTAGTCTGTTTGGACGTTCGTCCAGATTATGCATATCTCCCTCCTGCAAAGGCCGTCGGAATCCCGCAACTCCATATGCCTCTGCGTCAGGATCCCCTGCAATTTTCAAAGCCCACTTCTTCAAAGGAGTATACACTTTCCGTAGAACAAGCCCGTCAACGAAGCCAACGCGCCGGTACTGCTCGCCGTCTCCCGTCTTCTCGACAATGAGGCCGAATCGGTGTTCCATGAAGCCGTTTTCAAGGATCAATGGTAGCCGAGTTAAGAAGACGACGAAGAGTTGGTCGAGGGAGACGTTTTCGTCGTGCGGTTTGTCGAATCCGCCCTCTAGCCAAGCTTCTATTTTTTTCGTGCGCGGATTCCAGCCGCACGCCGATTGTTTTATCTGCAAAAGGAGACCTCATTGGGGCCACTCCAAAGTATAAAACGAGATCTGGTGGTGAGCTCTCGCGAGGCTCTAGAGATGTGATTGGAAACAGGGGCGCATTGATCCGTAACCATCCTCCCTTGAGACGTCCGTGTTGGTCCAAGTCCAGAAGGTCTAACGAATGGCTCACGTATTCAGCTAGTGGCTCAAAATCAGACATGTTGGCTGACCAGCGGGCTCGCTCATACCAGCTGTATATAGGAAACCGAACTGTTCCAGTGACGGATGCCCAGGACCATGACGGAGAGATGTACTCTCTGGGTTCTTCTAACTTTTCGGCTCCTTGACTCCCGCACCAAGTCAGACCCTCGATTAGGCTATTCTTCCATAGACTAGCGAGATAGTCATCTTTGGATGATTGAGATACAGCCTTAGCCAAGCCACTTAGCGCAGGCAGCCGATCAGAAGATTTGGTGATGAATCGTCCGGTATAGTCTTCAACCATTTTATACCAGTCGATATAATTCACATCCTTGTCTCCTACATAGCGCTCCCTACACGTACGTGCAAGGACAGACGCCGGAATATTCGCCGTCTTGCAGATCCGCTCTAGATGGCTACCGTCATGCAGCCTTATGTCGCCCTCTTCGCTCGCGCTCATCTTTTGGCATTCCCACAGGATTTGTTGGGATCCATACAACAGCATTCTTCGAGGCAGGTATCTCTCCTGCAAGCACCAAGCGCGCTTACTCAGAGGTTCCTGGGAAACCGTATCGACGTGATCTTCATCCGTCTCTGGGGGTAGGAGTTGTAATGCCAAAGTCGTCCCTTGGTCCAACGGTGTAAGCGTAACCACATCCTGCCAATGGCGTGAGTGAAGAAAGCCCTGAGCGTCAGACTCGCCGCAGGCAGCACCAAGGACGAAATAGGCGTCTCGATATATTGAAGCCATCTTGGCTGATTCTATCTGCCAGTCATGCGGGTCATCCTGGACTATACACAGAGAGTCGATCCAGAGATATCGCACGCTCAGGTTTCTCGCAACATTCACAGCATCCCTGAATGTCGGTGGCAGTTCGGATACCTTGATTCCATGCTTGTGCTTTTGCAAGGTTGACCGAGTTGTACACAGATTCGGGCCTGTGCCCCAGCAATGGCTGAGAGCAACATAGCGACTATCTGTGTTGTGGTCAAAGTCCCGCAACTCTTTAAGGAAAACATGGGTAGCATCAGCATCGTCGGATATGTCCAAGAAACGAGCTGGCAGCTGAGCAGACTCTGCAACACAAGACTTGTGGTTATCGTTACAGGTCTTTAACCAAGTGCGAGAAATTTGAACAGCCTCGTCGGACAAAGGATCTTGACCAGCCAAGCGGTCCCACGGCACAACACTATTAGAGTCTGCGGATATGTCAGTGCGACAGCCCTCATAACACATTTGGTGGAGGTACGGACCGGTATCTGCAATTCTAAATCGAGCGCATAGCGCGCCATGGCCGTCCGAAGAAGTTCTGACACCCACACTGCAACTGATTGTCATTACGAACTGCACTTTGTGGCGGCCGTCGTCTGAGCGATTGATTCGCTCGACTTCTACTTGAACCTCTCCATTGAGATATGCATCAATGGTTGCAATGTCATCATAGAGATCTTCTGGCGGATCTTCTAGGGGGAACGAGGCATTCTATAGGTCACTTTTGATGAGTTCGGGCCGATATTCTCGCCAGCCTTTCATGACGATGGCGCAGAGGTTGCAGCTACCCGAAGACTCATAAATGTCTTTGAGATGGGGGTGCCAATTGCCGATGGAGCATGATGGAAGCTGGTCTGCAATCGAGTCATGGCTGGACAAACCAAGTATAGCTCCGTAGACGCCAAAGGCCTTGCACTTATCGCATAGGGCCATATCTGTATGAGAGAAGCAGTATAGGCTGTCAAAACAGCAGTCAACATCTAGTGTCTAGTTTCAGCATTTGTTTTGCACGCTTCATATCCCAGAAGCGGTAGACTTGGAAGATTGAAGAGGACCTGAGGCGCAAATGCTCTCATTTTTGGGCGGAATTACGGAGTAAAAGGGGTTTTATGCGTACATGTACACACTCTCGCGGCATTATATCCCGTCTTAAGGAATATCCCCCGTATCAAGGAATTCTGGTTGGACAATGCCTCGCCTGCCCCGCCAAATGTACTCATAGGACCGCCATCCCTGCCCGTTAATCACCTGTCACTTTTAGGACTTATGCTATGGAAGATTTATGTGTCCTCTGTATCAATTCCAATGTCTATACTCTCGGCCGCGAAAGGATAATCAGTATAGCATTTTTCACTCTTCCTATCGAAGAATGTTGATACCTCAGGGGTTGCAAGTTTAATTTTCTTCTTACCAAATCGGGCTGTAATACAGTCAGTAACAACACTAAACAACTTGCGCCTGGGACTCACTCACATCCCAGTCTTATGTTGACTGACTCTCCCAACAACTACAGCAATAGTCTCCAACGCGAAATCGATGCCTATTGTCCACACAACCTCCGTATGCATATGTTCGTCGATTCGTTGATTAGGCGTGTCCTGGAGAAACCGATCGATCATGTACGCATTGGCGCAGTGAACGTCCACACCATCAATGCCAGCTTTGAAGACAGCATTCTCTGCCCGCCACAGCAAAAAGATCGACGTACTCATGACTGTCAACGCACGCGGTGTCTGGGCTTTCCTCGAGCATTCTTAGCTCTACCCTTCGCTCTGTAGCCAAGATTTACAGGAAGATATAGGATCCTTTTGCGTGAACAGCGTCGACGACCTACAATTATTGCATCACACGTAAAACTCAACCCTGGAGGTATGGTAGATGAAACCCTGAGAACAACATAGGCATATTTTTTTTTTATTAACCATTTGTGTGTTGGTCAGGCCCAATCGAAAGTGTGTTCCCTGGCCTTTAACAAAGTTACAACCGTATTTCGTACAGTCGCTTTCGGACGCCAGTATCCACTCGCAACATCAACCCTCCTTGATCTTTCAGGTGATTTAATAGGTCTTAATATTGCTAGTATCGGAGTCCAGAATCCACTTCTATGCAGGGACGATATACGCGAAAGCAACCGGAGTGTTAGTAACAAGCGTAGTATTATTTGAAAGCATGAGTATGTGATGAGTCTGATCTTACAAATCAGCTATGCTGCGACTTATTCCGGCATTTAAGCAGATAACTCATTCAATACTGATCGAATACCTTCCATCGGACTGCGACGGGAAATAGTGTATATCCATCATGTCCAAATTATTGACAGTATTCGGCGCCACAGGCAATCAAGGGGGTTCAGTCATCCAATCCATTCTTCAACATGCGTCGCTATCGAAAGAATACAAATTGCAGGGTGTGACTCGATCTTTGGAGAATGATCGATCAGTGGCATTAATTCAACAGGGAGTTTATATGGTTCAGGTATGTAGCCTGCATAGCCAGTGTTATAATAATATCTAATTCGAAAAGGCCGATTTGAACGATGAAGCATCAGTCAGAAAAGCCATCGAAGGGTCTGACGTCGTGTTTGGCATGACGAATTGTCAGTCACATAACATCCGCTACGTTGAGGATGTTTACCATGCTCATACATAGATAGTCTGGGAGTCTCAATCGGCACAAGTTGAGATAACGCAGGGAAAATACATTGCAGACACATGCAAGTCCTTTGGTGTCCAGTTACTCTTCTGGTCTACGCTCTGCAATGCAACCTCGGGTTAGTCAACTCTACACTTAATATATTATTCTGCATGCAGCTAAACGCGAACATAGTCAGCGGTGGAAAGCTTCCGAATGTCCATCATTTCGACTCCAAAGCAGCAGTAGAAGAATACATTCGCTCGATCGATATTCCTGCGGTATTCCTAGACCCCGGCTGCTTCATGACGAACCTGAAAACATTGATGCTATCAAAGGTGCGCACCAACGACTACATCCAAACCCATGCTTTTACTAAGAATCCAGGCGAACGACGGGTACACTATGAAGCTTCCACTACTCGAAACAACAGAAATTCCTATGATAGACGTTGCTAGTGACACGGGCAAGTGGGTCGTTGCGTCTCTCTTGAAGAAGTCGGAAGCATTAGGACAGCACTTTGTACTAGCGGAGGGATGGTACACAGTCAAAGACGTTTGCGAGACCTTCTCGAGAGTGACAGGCAAAACTTTACGATTTGAGCATCTGTCTGACTCTGAATATACTGCTTCTGTGGGGCAGGAATTGTCCGAGTCTTGGCAACTACTCCGAGACTTTGCGTATTTCGGTCCATCAGCCAAAAAACGATCTTTGGAGGCGACTCAAGTAAGGACCTGAGGACTTCTTTCCATATTGTGTTAGTGTTGACGATAATTTAGTTCCTATTCGACAAACCTACGACGTTGGAAGAGTACCTCCGCAAATCAGCACCCTGGTAGCCAGAGTATTAATTTTATTTACAGCGACATATATGTATTAGTTTGGCTTAGAATCGGATTGTTTGCAATGAGTATAATATAACGCTCTGATTCAAGACCATGAGGCACGATACGCTCAACTAGCTTCCTCTTCACCAGCAGAACCCTCCACCGGCCAATACCTCCCCTCAAACAAACTAACAACCCTCCCCCCAAGCCCCTCCCACCTCGGAAACTTCGAATCCCCAAAAACACCCTCAAACCACTCCTCCTCCTTCTCTCTCGCCTTATGCCTCGCCTTCTTAACATCCAGCTCCCCACTAACAACAACAAGGTCCACACAATCATTCGTGCTTTCAAACAGTCTAATAACGTCAATCGCAGACGTCTGTATGTTGATCACGTCTTGGTGCGTATATATCCGCGGATGAATAACGACTTCTTTACGAGAAATTGCATTATTGAGCTTTCGCTTTAAGTTGGCGAGCGAGGTTTCGTTGTGCGTGAGTTGGATGAGGACGAGGTAGTGCATGTCTTTGCCGTGGAGGAGGGTGAATTCCCATAGCTGGAAGGTTAAGGTTGGTTCGGACATTTTTGGAGAGGGGGAGGGTTGTTTGTGTGTGTGAGTGTGGGTGTAATTGTGAGTGTGTTTCAAAGTGTTGTGGTTTGATTGGAATTGGGGATTCATATAGTACTATGTGAAGAGTTGTTTAGATGAAGAGTTTGTGTGTTTGTTAGGCAGAATGGCTTGCTTACATGGGTTTTACCAGGCAGCAACCACACTTTGGAACAAAAAATAGATGTACTACGGGATATTTGGATGAGATGCTTATGAAACGGAGATTTGGCCAGGAGATTCATGATGTGAGATGAAATATTTAGAGCCAGAGTTTTCAGAATGCCGAAGAGTCGGACTTTTGAGCGAGTGAGATGATGTGGGGAAATGGATTGGATGCCTAAAAGAAGGGGAGTTGTGTGCCTGAGTTAGCTGATCCGTTGTTCTATAAGACAAATTAAAACATGTCTTAATGAGCCTCAGCGTTAATAACAACATACCCATCATAGCTTATCAGTCACGGTGTTGTTGAGAGCTACCCTTCTACAAATAGTCACAAATGTCAAAGGAATAAACAATGTAAGAAGCAAGTTCAAGCGCACAAGTCGCATCATTACTAAAAACACTATAAATAATAACCTCTAATATCCACGTTCATAACCATGCACACATTCAAACCATCATATTCCAGCCCAGGGTATGTGTAATACATCTCGCAGATGCGTCTTTCATCCCACCCATAAACGCCAAACCCATAAATAACGTTCACAGATGGCCATTCCCCATGTGCAAAAAATCCTTTATCCGATAACAAAATCAACAAAAGAAAGGGGGTGTGTGTTACCCCGATAAACCGTCTATGACAACAGATGCATTTACATGACTTGCCTCGACGTTTCGTCAAAGGCGAAAGTGGATAAATATTGTAAACAAGAAAAATCAGGATTTGGTAAAAACATTATACTTGCGCTTCTTCGCGTGCGTAGTTGGAACGTGAAAGTAAAGCATTGATGTTGAGGTCGATGGGTGGTCTGGATATTTCCATGCTTCGGCTGGGCATTCTTCTGCCGCCGGGAGTTCGGGGGTGAGCCACGTTGACGCGGCCATTTCGGTCCAAGATTCGAGCAGGCGACTCGTCGCCATCTGATCCGGAGCCCTCATGATCATCACCAAGTCCGTACTCAGCCAACCGGGTAAAGTAATCGGCAAGGCCATCAACGCTAGGCGTGCCGACGACGGCATCATACTGCGGAGGCGGGGTCATGATCGGAGGGATATCGGCAGGAGTGCCGTCAACGACAATGGTGCTGGCCGGAGGCGGCGCCGTGTCGTCGTCAAAAGCGGGAGGGTTGAAACTGGGTGCTCGTAGCAAATGAATAGGCCGGCCTTGTCCTTCGGGCGACCAGGTTGTCGGACTCGATCGACCAGTTGCTGTTTGGCCTGCCGAGGGAGCTCCAGACTGAAGATGAACAGCTTGGGGCGGGGCAGGCATGCTATCGGCAAGTGCCTCGGGGTCTGGCAAAGTGCCGGTCGAGGAGCTGGGAGAAGTCTCCATGGCAATTGTTGCCGAATCGGGGCAACCGCAAGCCGATTGATACGGAGACGGTCGGTTCATCTCACCGGTATAGGCGGGCAGAGATGTGTTTGCCCTGGTAGCGCGGCAGTTGAGGATGGTGAGAGGAGAGTCAATGCTAATCTCGAAATGGCGGCGCTTGGTGCCTGAAGCATCATCGTGATCCAGACGGCTGATTCGCATAACAACCTGATTGGAGTAATTAGCACAAAAAGCTCGCTTTTGAAGGGATTGCATCGGGAAAAGCTTACCTTGATCCAGTGGAAGACGTTGACATTCTTCCAACTGCAATCGGGGTGTAGTCTGAGGGACTTGTTCTTGGCCATCATTTCGCAGGTCGGAATCTGGACGCTTGCTTCAATCTCGGTGGACCCCCACATGCTCTCGAGGCCCAGGTCCAAGTCGCCGAGGAGATTATCCACCGGTGCCGGAAGTGGCTCCGGAGCCCGACGCTGCTTCAAGGCATCGTGGGCTCGCCTTCTTGAGGCGGTTTCACGAGCAACGCGACGCTGCTCTTCTGTGAGCTCACCGCCGCGAAGGGTCACAACTTCGGAGGTGGCCCACTCTGGGGCGAGCTCCTTTCCTGCCGTCTTCTCGAGCAGCAGAATCTTTCGGCCGGGGTCCTTTCTCGTGACACGCTTGTCGCTGGTCCAGTACTCGACCGACTCGGTGATGTAGACCTTGAGCTTGTGGACTTGGACCTTGGCCAAGGGAGTAAGCTTGAACGCAATGGGGATCTTGGCTCCGATGGGAAAGCTCTTTCCCGAAACCATAATGTCGTAGTGTAGTTGGTCTTCCCACTGGCGGCTGATGGAAATAGGCTCAGACATCTCGAGCGACATCTGGTCGGGCAGTCGGATGATGGGGACTTCTTTGACACCGTGCAGGTTGGGCTTGAAAGCACCTGCACGGTCAATGGTGGCGTGAAGCTCCCACTTGACGGAAGCGTACTGCAGCTTGGTGGTCTCAAGCTGGTGGTGATCGATGGGAAGCTCAAAGGAATAATCGTAGACGCCGGGATAGAAGACCTTGAATCCCTTGGCCTGGGTTTGGGTCACCACTCCGGACTCGCCCTTGCCAAAGCTGCGAGACTGGACGTTCTGAAGAGAGAGTCGCTTGAGTTCCTTGGCCGTCAGATTATTTCGCATTGACGCCGCAGGTGAGACGCCAGGCGAAGTGTTAAGACCGGTGCTACTGGAGTTTGCGGAGCCACCTTTGAGCTTGTAAGTGCACTGGTTACCGTATTCACTCTCCCATCCATCGTTGAGGGCGTTGAAAAAGGTTAGGACCTGGGTTCGCAGGCTTTCCTCTTCAAACAGGTCTTGCTTGAGCGGCGGGATACCCTCAGGCCACTCTGTGCGTGCGCGGCCAACCAGCTTCAGCTGGACAGCCTTGACCTTGACGTTCTTGCTGATTGTCAGTTGCATCTTGCCTCTCAGGAGGGCAGTGCCGGCGCGGTCTGTTCGGCGCTCATGGCCGTTGTGGTCAAAGCCAGAAAGGAAGAGGTTGGGTTCGGCAAGGAGAATGGAGCAAGAGACTCCGCTGCCGGTGGCGACAGGCTTAATCACCTCGACGACGGCGGCGTTTACGCTTGATTTTGAGCTGCGGATGGATGTGAAGCTGTTGTGGTGACCGAGTTGGTACCCGCCTAGGGGCACCACGGCTCTAGCGGTAGCCATGCTGTTGGGAGGGTAGCGGCGTTGTTGAGAAGAGCGACGGGGACGGGCTGCTGTCTGTTGGCCCGGCTGGCGACTGTTGTGGCGGCTACGGCTGTTGCTCCTGGCACGATGCCTATGCCTCGATCTGGAGGACCTCGAAGCTGCTCTGCGCCGTGTTTTGTCCCGCGGTTGATCACGGTGTTCTCGGCGGTCTCGATGTTCTCGCTTGTGGTGAGCAGCGTCACGATCTCTGGTGGATGAAGATTGATTATGTTGCTGCTGCTTTGGCTCACGGCTCCTGCGAGAGGACGATGAGGTTGTCTCGTGAGAATGGTGCGAGTGATTGCTACGGGGTTGACTGGCTCGGCTACTACGGCGAGATGTCGACTCAGAACGATGTTCGGTAACCGGAACGGTTTGGATCTGGATACCAACAGGGAATGCGCTGTGTTGCGGAACGTCGACTGAGGATACAGAGTTGCTCGCCAGTGATTGGAACAATCGGGTCAAGGCCAAGCGGACGGGAAGCTCAGTCCTGGTGCTGGGGTGGGCTGATGTTGTAAGCCTCGAAGATCTCGGAGTGCTAGGCGCGGGGCTGGAGCCAGATTCGATCCGGGCCCTAGACGAGCGAGGGGAGGAGGTTCTGGTCCGAAGCTCACGAGGCACGTAGCCCGAGGGATAGCTGACGACGTGGATGGAGTGCGGCCGCGTCCTTCGGGGCCCAATGGGGGGCGTTGGGATGCGCGAGACGGGGTCAGCCGAGTCGTCTGCGGCAGTTACAGGGACGGCAGCGGCGGAAGCGTCGGCGACAGGGGCGTCCAGGCGGTACAAGATGTTCTCGTTGCTGGTGCGGACCCAGTCGTCTCGTCGGCGGCGCCTGCGATGGCGAGAGTCAGACTCGCGGGAAGCTGGCATATTGTCATCAGTGCGTTGATTCTCGCCGGCATTGAGGTTATTGCTACGGTATGACTCCCGTCGATGGGCTCGCGAGGATGAGGATGGTGGCTGCACTGCAGCTCCAGCCGGCATGTTGGCAATCTGGGGGAGGGGGTGGAGGGGCTCTCTCTCGGGATGGGAATATCTGGTCTGCTAGCTTCGACCACGACCATCAAGGGCAGCCAAAGCAAGCCACTCAGACCGCCATTATCAACTGCCGAAGCAGCGCTGGTGGAGGCCAGACTGGGCGAGAGGCACAATCTGATATGCGGCGGTGAATTAAGGAATAGGCAAAGAGGGCAAAAGCAAAAGCGAGCGCCTATGCAGGGCTGACGAAAAGAGGAGAGAGACGGGATCGTAAGAGCTTAATGCAGCGGGGGTGGTTTGAGTACGAGTAGTGGAAGAGGGGAGGAGAAAGAAGGGTAGCTGTGCCGAGCTGGCAGCAAAACAAAGAGGGCAAAATGTGTCGATCTCGAGGACTAGAGTGCTTTTGTGTCTAGATTCAGGGCAACTTGCAAAGGGCCAGACGAATGGGGAAAAAGACGGGCTGGCAAGACACAAAGATAAGAGGGTCGATGAGGCAGCGAGTGAGTCGACGAGGAAGCAAAACGAGTGAAGGATGGCAAGAAAAAAAATCAATTGTGTTGTCATTGGGCAGCGAGGCAAGGTTTTTCTCCTCCCGTCTCGTCTGTTGCTCGTGATTATGTGAGGCGAGACGGCGGCGATAAGATAGTCAGATGTCAACCCAAAGGAATCCATCATGAGCGCTGCATCTGCAGGCGAGCGGCCTTTGAGAGCCCAGAGCAGAATCATGAAGCCTGCAACAGAGCATCCACAAATGCAGGCTGGACACGTCGATGGGTGGTGACGTTGACGGTTGGGCAGCTCGCATCCACCTGGGAGCCCACCAAGAGTCCACTGAAGCTCAGCGAGGATCCAATGGCATTTTGCCCAAGGGTGGCCAAGGGTGCAATGTCACGCTCAGGCACTCGCCTCAAGGAAACAGGGTTGCAGCATTGACGGGCGAAGCGAATGGCGGGATGATAGGCAATGGGAGGCCAGAAGCCGGTGGAGGTTGCTGCAGAGCGCTTGCAGGAGCCCGCTGTGGCTTGCAGTTTGAAGAAACAGGAAGAAGACGTGAAAAAATTGCAAATAGCATCGCCGGCATGATATCGAGCCTTGTCTTGATACGCCAACACAGAGGGCATAGCCAGTCCTCGGGAGCCCATGGGAAGATCAGAGCAGAGCAAAAGTCGGACTCACCTACAGAATATTGGAGCCTTGGCGGGAAAAAGAGAACAAGGCAATGAATCGGAAGAGGATGCAGGCAGACGAGAAAAAAACCTGCTGATCGCTGCCGAGTTGTCGTACCTCGAATGGAGCAAGAGTGCTAGGCGAGACGCAGCTCTATGCGATGCGATGCGATGCGATGCTAGGCGAAGGGCGCTGGACAAAGGACGGATGGACCGATGGCGGATCGCGACGAGGGCATGTATGGGATGGTATGGAATGGGCTGAGCAATTGGAGAATCGTCTGCTTGTTGATTGGCGAATGGAATGGCGATGCTCGTTCGTTTCGAAGAAGAGGGGGAGGGAGAAGAGAGTCGATTGGAGAGAGGGAGAGAGAGAGAAGAGTAAGAGAAGAGTAAGAAAGGTGATGTGATGAGGAGAAGAAGAACCAAGACGCTGAGCTGCCCAAAAAATAACAATCGCGCAATAACCAGAAACCCCAGAAAAGCCGCGAGTCTTTAAACCAGCTCGCAACGGAATAGTCCCAAAGGTTAAAGGGGTTAAAGAGATTCCGGTGGCAGCGGCAAAAAAAGAATTGGGAACTGAGCATCAAAATGAGGCAGCGCTGACTGTGACTTAACAATGGCCGGGCATCTCGTCTTTAACCAACTGTGTCGGCTACGTAATGCGTCACTCGGTCGTGTTTCTGGCCTTGATTTGGCCGGCTTGTTTTTTTCTCTCTTTTGCTGCTTTCCTTGCCTTGCCGGGCTTAGCACCGCTTGTCTAGCCCCTCGCCCGTTGCCTGTTTGGGGTCAGCTCGGCAGTCATTTCCGGGGCTGATGCGAGCGGGCGGATTAGGCTCGGGTTCTGAGGGGGGCGCCCAGTTGCTGTTGGCAGTGCAATGGCGCTGGAGCTAGGCGCTGTGCTAGGCCTGTGCTAGGCTCTGCTGGGCCTCTACTGGACGCTGTAGGGGGGGATTGTTAGGGGGGAGGAGTTCTGCAACGGCTAGGGGGTTGGTTAGTACGGTTGGGGCAGTAAAACAGGAGGAGACGAGCATAGGGCTGGTGATGTCACCACGAAAACATTGACCGTCGAGGACTGATTCTGCTGAGGATTATTACAGTGACAGATTCCAGATTTGGTGATGATGCTTTGTCAGGCTGGGCTGCGGGAATTTCCTCTTGAATGGCTGCAGGTGCTCTATCAGGGAATTCAGTTCTATTCTATGCACATACACCGGGATGAGGTTATTGCACGGTCACTTTCTTCCGGAGAAGCTCCAAAAACAACATGGAACATCCCGCAGTTGCAGAACACAGCACAACACAACACAACACAACCCACAGCTTCCATCTTCCTTGGCAGATTGAATGGAGCATTCCTTATGCTGGCAATCTACCTCAAACTGCTAGCGTAGTCTACAACAGAAACGAAGGATGAAGGGGTGACAGCGAAGAGACAGAGGAAAAAAGAAAAAAATCACAAAAGTCATCGTGATCGACGTCACCAGTCCCGGCACCCTGGTCGCTGCTTGGACCACAAAGCGCAAGGATGTGCGCGTTTCCCACGAACCCAGCCAGAGCCTGCGATGCAATTGCGCGTGTCTCAAGTACTGTCCTCATTTAGTATTCATGTATCATGCCTCATGCAATCGCCGGTCTGATCTGATGCCCATCTGACGTTTGCACCGCCTCATCCGTCCATAACCACTTACTATGCACTTACACCCACAAAACAGCTTCGTCTTCCCGTTGACAAATCGCCTCTGCACGAGGGCAAAAAATAAAAGAATAACACTAGAACACCAGGAATAATAAAAACCAAGAACAAATCTCGACCCCTTGCTAGTTTTCTTGAAAATTTGCGCGGCTAGCTCCGGGCGCAAACTCCCATCTGCACTCCAAAAAACCACCATCACCAAACTGGGCAATGCGCATATGCACACTTCCATACATGCCGTATTCCGTCCGTATTTCGGCTCTCATCTCATGCCACAGACCACAACATTCCAATCAATCTCCTGAGACGAGACAAAAACTGTATTTCACTTTGCTTGTTTCAACACCACTCATAAACAATAAGCTCCCACTGTTCTTCCCCATAAAATACCCTCAGCTCTCTCCCGTTTCCGGCCACAATGTCTCAGCTCTCCCCCCAATCGCCATGCTCTCCATTGTCAGCTTCTTCCCAGCTCGGAGCTTTCTTGGTATTTGAAAATGAACCAACGCCCCCAGCAGCCCAGTTTTGCGGATTCGGCTCTCGGTTACCGTCCCGCGACCCCTCCGAAGCCCCATATTGCCGAAACAAATTTTTTTTTTTACTCTCTCTGCTCAATACCGAGGGCGCCTTCAAGCCCTCACCCCTTCACCTTTCCCCTTTTGGCACACGCCAGCTCTCTTCTTTTATCTTTATTTTATTTATTTTCAAAGTTTAACGGTTTCCGCCCAGTATCATTTATCTATTTATTTTTCTTTGGATTCATTTCACGCATCAATCAGCGTCGTGCATTATGTCTCACCCGGGGTTTTGGCGGCCCTTGCGGCCGGCACTGCCGGGTCCTCACACCCTCCGGATCTGCCGGCTCTCCCCCCCCCCCCTTCCACTCTCTCGGCACAAATCAAAAGACAGTCGCCCTATCTTTTTCTCCGTCTCTGTGAACTATTCAACACGCCGTTCTAGAACGGGATAGACCCTGAGGCTCAGGAGATTTAGATCTCACCAGGTGACTTTTTTTTTCTAGTCCCAAACTTTGGACAGGCCGCTCAGCCACCGGGGACGCGGCATCAAATCATGGTGATGCTGAGTGATATTGTAGTGCCCCGGATGTTCTCGGCTTGTCGTTTCTGCCCGTCGGCCTGGTATTGCAAATACATGCTGCTACCTTACTCCAGTTTGAACGATTTGGAACTCACACGACCAACCCTGAATCAAGTAGTCCAATATCGCCACTCATACCGCCAATCAACTCTTAGACGCCTCGGTCCCAATCCTACGGATGATCTCACATTGTCATTAGAGATGATTGTTTAAGCTCTCAGTCGATACTGAACAATGACAGAATGCTCATCTCCCCGCCTTAAGCAACGAGTTTAAAGTTCGTATTACGCGTCCCTATAGCTCTCCCGTGAGAGCTCTTCCCCTCCTTTGAGACAGCATCTTAGACCTATCTCCACACTATCGATCGTGAATGATCTCCGGATTATCTGGCAATCAAGAGTTTGTAATTCTTACGCCCACCTGCACAAGTACGTCATATCACCTCTCCAGCGAACTGCTGCAACCCGCTTGGTTCCATGCAGCAAAAGAGTCCCGCACACTCTCGCCCGGCAACTAGTCCAAGTAAACAAAAAAAAAAAAGTCTCCATCAATATCCCCATGTTCCAGCATCGAATTTTTCACCTTGCATGAGCAACTTATCCCAGGAAATCCCGGCTCTACCGTAGTTGAACAAGTTGCCCTTCCGCCTTTGGCCCCATATCCACTCCGACTACCGGACCCTCCGGCCGAATCCGGGCCGGCGTTGACCCTCTGATGGCGTCGATCGAGATGACGATGAAGCCAGTGTGTATGGGTCCAAGGGTCTTAAGGGTCTTGCATGGGACGAGAGGTGGTATGATGCGGGAGTGGTTGCGTGGATCCACTTGCCTAGGCATGCCTTGCTGTGACAATGATGTCTTCGATTCGAGGATTAGTTCGTCGTATCTATAAGCGTAACTACGCCTCAAGTTGTCTTGTTATACCTATGCCGGTGTTGAGTGGTTGTTATCCGTTATCTTGACCTCGGTGAGTGTACATGATTCAGTGTGGCTTAAACGCATAGTAAACTCTCTTTATTTGATATGTGCCAACGGAAGCTGCCAAAACTATTATTGGGTCAAGATTCCACATCATGAATCTTACTTTCACAAACTCGTATAAAGTTTCTTGATAAGGGTATCCCGGAAGAATGAGTCGCATCAATTGACCTTTCAGTGACGACGATCAACGCCTCGGTTATCCAGGCGAGCCACTGATCTTCATTAGCATTATGATATGAAAAATGACATGTCACACTAGGTTATGTAATTGCAAGAGATCGATACCTAGTAGGTAGCACAAATGGCGTTGTAGTTACGTCGAGCAACTACCAGTCACATCTCATTTTACTTACCCTAAGATTCGCGACGTATCCAGTGCCATCTCAAGAGTGCTAGGCGGAAGCATTAAGTTCTACAATCTAGCTAACAAAAGAATTGTGGTTAATTCCCTAACACGAGACCAACTGGCGGCTTAGACGACTCAGTCGATACATCTCGTACCAGCACGTGGCATATTTCTGATAGCTCCAGCGATCTATAATAGATCAATAAACTTCCAAAGGTTATTATTCATGAATAGACCACGAGGCCACGACATCTATATTATTAAATAAGGTTATTCATCCAACGAGCGCCTTATTCAGGTACGACCGCCACTCCAGAATCTTAAATACTCGTGTTCAGCTTCGGGCCGAAGTTATTTATATGGCTACATAACCATGTTTCCAAATCTATCTCGTATCGTTCTTAAACACACTTCGCAGAATGGTTACACGGTGAAAATGGCCAATCCTTGCCGATGTTCCCCAAAAACGACACCGAATCTAGTTGAGTTGGTCTCGATGATACCCCCATCATCTCATCTTCAAGGCTATATTCGTTTTCAAGTTCTAGCGTTTCAGATCTAATCTCCCTTCTCTTTCTCTCTGTCTCCTCTTAGACGGCTTCTTAATATACAGAACTGGCTAGCTTCATCTCTCACCTTATTAAGACATCGCCGTCGTTAGAGTCATGCCTACTCACACTTGAGTCAACCAACGAGTTAGGATATCGGCCTCTCTGTGGTAACACAAAATATCATGAAGATTTCTATTTCGTCCTCTTCTAACCATATATCTCGCACATGTTCTAACTTCATCATATACACCACCTCATTCAAGTCTTCTCTCGTCCAATTCCATACATTTCCATCTCGACCCATCACAACCACCTCATTCAAGCCTTCTCATCCAAACATCACATTCTCCCATCCCATCTTGAATACTCAACCCCCATTCACCCCATCCTCCCTCCTCAGCCGAAACGCCTCCATCAACCGATTCCTCACCATCAAACAACTCAACGCAATCCTCCTCCCCCCAACAACCCCCCTCCTAACATCCTCCTCCCCCGCCCAACAAAATGCCTGATGCTCCTCCGGATCAAGCACAACCTCAACCTCCTTCCCCCCCTGGGGTTCTTCAACCTCAACCTCAAACGCAAACCCGCAAAACACCCTCGTCCCACTCCTATTCGTAAACACACTCCACTTCCCCCTCCCCTCCCCCTCCGTAACAAGCCTCTTCATCCTCTTTGCAACCAAACCAACTTCCTCCCTAACTTCCCTTGCGCAGCCCGCTAGGATAGAGTCATCGCCTGAATCCACTGCGCCACCGGGTGTTTCCCATAAATTCGGCATGCTGTCGTGCGCGGCCCTTTGCACGAGCAGCACGCGGCCCTGAGCATCGAAAATGTACGCCGACGTGGCCACGCCGTCGAAGTTCTTGTCGTGGATCTCGAGCCAGTCGGATTTGGGGACGGTCCATTCGATGAGAGATTCGTCGAATGCAAAGTCGGCAATGGGGCCGCCTTTGGAGTTTGTGTCGACTGGGGTGTTGACGACGGACATTGCGTCTTTTGTTCTCTCTCCTTCCCCCAGCCTTTCTTTCTTATTCTTCTTTGGTATATGAAAGGAGATGAAGTGAGGTTATTCTTGTTCAGTGTCTCTATTGTTGGAGAATATTGTAAATTGTGTTTTGTGAGATGTATCAAGTCAAGTTTGACGAAAAGTGAGTATGCAAAATAGGCGGTAGTTGTCAATCTTTATGGCCCGCCCGCCGGGTTCAGCTCCGTGTCCTTGTCCGTCTTTAGCGGCTTGAGGCTCTTTGTTAGGCGCAGAATTCAGGCAGCACAGCTCAGCTACCTACCATCAAACCCCGGATTTCAGGTAACACATTGAGTCATCCATTCTGGATTAAAGATGAAGCAATCAGCCTCACAAGGCGCCCTGCTTCCTATAAAGTCATGATGGGTAGAATCGGCATTGGACATGAACGATTATTCTCTTTCATTCAATGGGCAAAGAGAATTCACTTCACAAAAGGCATCGCGCCCAACAGTCACAATAGATCTGCAAAGTTTTCAAAGAGGCACCGCTCATGTCAACAAGGACATTAAATCTTCAATCATTTCGCCATAAGTACATGTAAACATTACCAAATCCCAAACTCCCCTTGACCCTCTGAAACACGACCTCTGAAACAAGATCTTTAAGAAAATACAGCCAAATATAAAGTGCCCTCAAAAAAAGGCATCCCGCACTCCCGCTGTAAACTTACCCTAGGAATCAAAATCCGCACGTCTCTATCTAACATGAGTGATCGCTTTTCCACATCCCCAATTCCAAAGCCGCATCACCATATACCCCTCATTTGATTCTGAATCTCTTGCATACACCTTAGGCTTACAGCCGAGCCTTGTTGATTCATTTGAAGCCTTGATCCATCGCTCTCACTTGTACACCAGCTCTCACGACTCATAGATGCGATATGTACTTCCATTCAGGACCCCACGTGCTCAACCATTTCACGTTCATATTGTTTGAGAACTGGCCAACCATCTTCCAAATATCTTACAGTCCGTCGTCTCCGTGTATAGTGAATACTAAAAATCAAGCGCTGCTCTCAAAGTAGCGTGCGTCCCCGGCTGCTAGTTTAGCCAGAGAGAATTGTAAGCCGTCGAAGCCATGTTGGTATTAAAAGTAAAGCCATCGCCTTATTGTGCCTCCCAATGCGAGTTATTTTGTCGGATCCTGCCTACTCGAATAGCAAAGAGTGGTGCAAACTTCCGGCAGACACAGTTAAACCACTCTTGCCGTATGATTATGTGGGAATCTGGTTGTAAATTTGATTTCCTGTTGAAGGAAGTAGCAGCCAACCCGATTAATAGTCGTTCCCGTCGACCAATCTTTTCTTCTTCTTCTTTCTTTTTGTCCACTTAAACCAGTATGATCATGGCAGGGCAAGATTATGTGAAGCTGAATTTCCCCGAGCTAACAGCCGGCGGGCATTAAGATTTGTCTGTATAATTTAATCCGAGGTCAAGGTGGTGGATTTTTCTGTCCTGGCCCGCATCCGAGTGGCGTGACTATCGAGGCAACGGGCCATGAGATGCGTAACTGGCCAAACGGCTGCTTTGTCCAGCATTTGGGACGTAACTCGAAGAATCTTGGTTGCATAGCCAGCCTGTCCATCATCTGGGGTTCCGGCATCAGTGGCAGTCAAGCTGGCCATGAGGTCCAGGCTAATCTTCATCTCCGCCGAAGACAGGACTTCTTGTATCCTATCCAGCAGCTTGATGTCGTCTTCTTCCAACAGCATGATAGCGGGCATTTGCGAAGGTTCAATGTGCTTCTGGCCCAAAATACCTAAGTATGGACCAACTCTATCTTGCAAGGTGGCGACCCACTCGGCAAGGACCTGCGCGCAGTCAAATGCGCACATGGCTGACTGTAGGGGGAGCTCACGACTAGTAAAGTCAGCAAAGGTTACCCCAAGCTTGTCCGACATGGCCAAAGAATCGGCCGCATAAAACGCGGCTTTCCGTAGATGTCGCTCTCGGCGGGAAATGGAACGAGTGGCGAACTGAGAGCCGTTGGAGAATTTGCCCGAGGGATCTGAGCCCGCTACTGAAGCTGATGGCGAACCAGTAAAGAGAGAGCTATCAAAGTTATCGTTGCCCATCGGCTCTGCGTTGGATCCGGGGGAGTGCTCGGCATGCTGGACAATCTCCGTTCCTCGAGCCAGTTCCTCGGCCATGCCGTCCCAGTCTCGCTGCCAAAACTTTTCCTTGGACCTAGATAGATTGACAAACAGCCGCACGTATGCCAAGTCAAGCAAAGGAATGGCGTCGGCAGAAAGCGGGCCCATGCCGTACGGATTTGGACGCTCTACGGTGTGTTTCGGATTGCTGGCCCAGGCCACTTGCCATGCCTTCAAGGCTGGCTCGATATGTCGGTGCATCTTTTCCGTCTCCTCGTTGGTCCAGACTTTGTTATGGTGTCTTTGTCGTGTTTCCCAGATGTAGTTGTGCAGGGCATTGATGAGAACTAAGCAGCCGAAAGTGCTGGGCCTGAGATTCGTAGAAGGTAGCTCAGCCGGGGAGTGCTGGCCGCCATTCATCGCCATGTGCTTCTGCTGTCGCTCATTTGTGCGCAGGAGCTCTCCGAGGGCGTCGCAGAACTTGAGCCGGTTGTGGTTGGCTGCGTCGGGACCGCCCTTGGCGAAGAAGTGGGTGGCCGATTCGGCGGCGAAGAATTCCTCGTCACAGGGGAGATCCAGCAAGATTTCAGAGTTGGTCAGAGCCGGGGTGTGGTTGTAAGCGGCAACTAAGAGGCTGGACATGATGAAGACGGCGTACAGCGTGCGCTTGCGCTCTTCCTTTCGCTTCCACTGGAGCCACTCCTGTCGTTGTTCGAGTTCACTTTTCCTATTCCACATTGAGTCATCAAACATGCGAGTATCCTGTCCATCCTCCTGCTCGGGCCGTAGCAGATCGGCTGCCTGGGCCAAGCTGACGAGCGCTGCGCAGTGAGTTGAGGCGATGTCGCTGATGGTCTTGTCGCCGCAGTTGTGGCCGTAGACGACGTTGAGCAGCATCGCCTGGACGAGCCAGACGGGCGTGTGGGCTGAGCTATCCCTACCTTGTGACGATGACGACGGCTGGTCGGGGTCGCCGCTGTGCGTGCTGCGTCGGACATCTGCTTTGCGAACGTCGGCCTTGCGTCGTTCCTCGAGGTAGAAAAAGATCATCTTCTTAGCCATGGTGAACAGGTCCTTGGACTGGGCTTGCTCCATTTCATATAGGGCGCCAATGGCCGCCATGGCGAGCACCAGACACCCACTACCGCCTACACCATTCTGGCGACCGCTCGGGGACGTGGACATGTCAAAGGACAGGGTGGGCAGGTGCAAGAAGGGGAAATGGGGATGGAAATATGAGATGTAAGCTGAGACATAACGCTGTAGATTCTGGGTACTGGGCACGTTGGCGGCCTGAGCCGGGGAGGGCGATTGGAACTGCGGCGACTGCGGCGAGGTAAAGGGATATTTACGGCCTCCAAAGGGCAGGCACTGGGAGAGAATGGTCACGATGGCAGTCCTGGTGGCATCTGTGATTGTGGTTACGGGCGAAGCGCCATGGTTAACGCCGTTGAGGGATGATGGGGTTTCCGGGCCGGCGTTGAAGCCAAGGGTCTGGTTAATGCTCTGCGTGTTCAGTCCAGATACGACGGAAGGGCTCAACGAGCTCAGCGATGGTGGGGGCGTGGAGAAGTATGGGTCATTGATCTTTTGAGTAGCTGGCTGAGGTGATAAAGGAGCTCCATTGAGGAGATCCGGAAAGACTGAACCATTCAGATCCAAAGCAAACGGGTTCGGCATCTGCGGGGGGCCCATCACGGAGGGTTGCCACATGGTACTCGTGCCAGCCGGCGCAGGGTGATTTGATCCATCCAACATGACATCGCTGATGCCACTCTGGCTCGTCGTGCTAAGAGCAGACGGGCTCGACTCGTCCACCACATTTTCGTTTGTCTGAAATGACATTTGGTGCTCAAACCCACTGAGCCAGTCAAAAGAGTCGTCAAAGGCCGGATTCGACGGGATGTCGTTGAGGGCTTGCGCAAACGGGGAGGCCTGCTCCATTACCATCGAGGGCGGGGAATCATTATAGTGAAGCGCGTTGGGGTTGATGGTTGTGCCCGGCGCGAACAAGTAGCTCTCAAAATCAAATTCGGGGTTGAAGGCAGCGAGGGGAGGTGCTGTACGCAGGGCATTTTCCAGATCGGTACCGCCGATCTGGCCCGTCTCCAGCTTGGGGAGGCCGTGCGCGAGCGTCGCCCTCTGGCCCATGGTCATGGACATGCCACCAAACACGGGGTCGAAGTTGTGGATGGGCAGGCCAGCAAGACTGGGGTGACGGCTGTGCCCTGCGTGCATGCCTCTAGCGACGTTGGCATTGGCCGTGGCAATCATCTGCATGGCAGCTCCATCGACGTGGCTGATGGTGTTTGCCCGCGGACGCATCGTGTTGGCGGCACCCGGGTTGGGGGCCGTCGCCGCATGGCTGGCGCCCACGACGCTGTTTTTGCGAGCCCGACTCTGGCCTGGGGGCACGCCGCTGGTCGACTCTCGGCGGTTTCGCGGGCGAGCGGAGGGCGTCGACGTCTGATGCAGCTTCTGCTGGTGACGAAGCAGCAGGTCGCGGCGGGCAAAGCATCGCGAGCACTCCGGGCACTCAAACGGCTTTTCCTTTGTGTGCGAGCGCTCATGGCGCTTCAGATGCTCCAGGCGGGCGAAGGAGCGCTGGCAAGTCGCGCAGACGTGCGGGCGAGGCTTGTCGGTCTTTGGCGGAGGAAAGTTTGGAGGAGCCTTGGGCGTGGTATTGACAGTAATGGTAGATGCTGAGTCGCAGGGCGATAAGGGTCAGCTATCAGAGGCAAGTGATTTGATTGATACTTTTGTGTGCGGGTCGGGGCGAGTTTTGGGGGGGAACCCGAGGGGCAGAGAGGCTGGCGTCAAAGGAGAATCGCTCACCAGAGTCGTCTGCGTTTGCAGAGTTGCTGCCAACGCTGGCGGCTGCGGCCGAGTTGGACATGTTGGAGGCGCGCGACACCCGGTGGCCAGAATCATTCATTACCATGGCAAGCCAAAGCCGCAAAAGCCACCGTCCGCGAGAATGAGCAGAGCGGCGGTTTTGTGTTTCGAGACGAGGGGCGGAATGGCCGTGAGAGCGTTCGGCAGGGCGGTTTCGCGGGGTGCTGGGCCGAGCTACAGTACAGGCGCACGATAGCTAGGATTTGGCGGGGGGTTCGATAAAGTACTTAAGGTTTCGTTGTGGTCGCGGATAAGAAAGAAACGAGTAGAAATACCATGAAAGACGGACTAGAGACGGCGCGGGTGAAGCATCCCAAGCGGTGGCTTTGCGCAGAGAAACAGCGGCTCGGGAGTCTCTGGCGTCGCTCAAACCAAGACGGATGAGGCCATCAATAGACGAAGCAGAGATTGGGTTGCTGCTTGGAGTGAATCGGAGTGAGAAGGAAGAGGTTTGGTGACTCGACGGGCGACGAGAAGGTACTACTAGGCAGGTATGCGGCGACACAGTGCCGTCACTGTGCGGTCCAGCCTGTTCTGCTGCGCCCGCTAGCACTGACCGGGGCCTCACAGTGGCTCTTGGGCCTGCACACGGTGCACGGCTGCTCGTACGGGTACTCAAGCGCTACTCGCCTGTACTCGTACCAGGTGCTACCGCCCGATTCGACCTGGAAAGCTCCGTGCAGGCGGCGAGGCCCAGCACCGGAGGTACGTACCGGCAAAGTAGCGGCGAGTATTTTTGCGGCCTGTTTCTGCGCACGTGTACTAGCCGGGACCAGCACAAGTACCAGCACAAGTACCAGCGTAAGTACGAGCGTTGGTCCACAGCGGCGGGCCCCAGCAGGTTTATTGCAGCAGCGCATCCAATCGGCAGGGGCCAGGGCAAGCTGCTGCAGGCAGAGAGAAAAGAGATCAATGGATGGCATGCAATATACAGTACAGTACATGCAATATACATGCAGTCTGTACAGTACGGTGCTATTAATATTATGGAACTAGCACCACGGATATGTATCATGTCCGGATGCCTGTCCTGCCCTGTCCTGTCTCTCATGTACGAGGGATGTCGCACGCATCAGCTGCTCATCCTGCTGGGCATTGGTGGGCTGTCCGGCCGAGTACCTGCGAGGTAGACGCTGCGCTAGAGCGAGCGCTGGGTGCGACCCTGTGCTGGCTTCATGGACTCACTGTCGTCTGCCGGCGAGTTTCTCGCACGGTGCTGCACTGTAACCTGCAACAGGGTGTGGCCTCTTTCTTCCCACAGCGAGCGAACGAACGAACGGATGGACTGGACTGTTTATTTCGTCGGCTGATGGTTTGACGCATACATAAGGCGATGCAATCTGTGAATCAGTATCAAATGTACAGTGAAATAAATATTAATTAATGCCTCTCGCATGTGCTGTGCTGTGACATCAAATGCTGTGACATGCTGTACTTGTTTGTACGGTGCTGCAGTTGCAGTTCCATGCAGTTGCAGTCAAGTGGAAAGCCACGGGTACCCGCGGATGGCGCGGATGCCTGTTTCAGCAGCTATTGGAAGACAAAATACCGGTTGGGCATTGGTGAGGTTGGTTTGATGGATGATGAACCTTGAATTTTTATTTTTATGTTTGTGTTTGAACTTTGAATTTTCACATCGTCATGCTGGGCTATTTTAATCCGTTACCGGCCACACACACACAAAGAACAAAAAAAAAAAAACTACACGCCATCGAGTGCCTCGCATAATGCGCAAACTGCTTGTCGCATGCTAACCTCAACTCGGGCATTGTACCAACTTTTAGGTACTAAGTGAGTTGATGTCAGTCCAGCCCATGGCGGCATGTACGTTCAAGGTACCTCCGCGCCCAGGGCAACAAGCGCGGGTACACAGGCTCTACCTCGCACTTGTTCCTTTGGCTGCGTTAACCTTATCCGATTCCGGCCCCGAGTCCTGTCGGCAGGCTTCCACTCTTTTCTCGTCTCGTTCCATCATGACCTCGTTCTCCTTGTCGCCATCGTTGCAGAGTTCAGCCAATCTCCACTCCGACTCTTACTCGTCCAGGTAGCTTCTTGCGGTCGGTACCTGTAATTTGTAAAGCCAAAGGTAGGTATGCAACTAATGGGGCACTCGGGCTGCCTGCTCACCATCCGATTCGAGGTAAAACATCGCCTGGCCTTGTGCCGCGTGAAGCCACGGGCTTGGAGGCTCAAAGCTCAACTGTTGCCCTGGACCACTAAAAACAGGGCCGCTGCGTATTCCTGTTGAAATTGACTCCCACGTTTGCGTTGCCATGTTACTCTAATTCCATCGCGGTCCAGCGCAAACATGGAACATCCTGGTCGGGGGCCACTGGGCTCAACTTCGACATGCCGGGAAGACTCCGACGAGGCAATTATCCCGTTTGGCGTGCCATCCTGCTGTCCGTTTTATCGCAAGCCCACCCTCCTGTACGTGATGGCACGCGGCACTGTACGAGTCCTGTCCTGTCCTGTACGAGATACAGCACAGCACGCCAGGGGCTGCTCTGTGCCTTTGAGGCGCCTTACGAGCACACCAGTCGCATCTATCTACAAGGCGCCAAGCGCCATCTTTCTAGCACCGCACCCCTTGCGAATCCTGAGCCATGTCCCAGAGCCAATGCCTTGGCCGCTGCAGTGCACGCATGAGAGGACGGAGCTATCCGTGGATCTTTTTTCAGTGGGCGAGGGTTCCACATGCGGCGCAGAATCGAATCGAGTCGAGTCGGTTCAACGCAGCGGCGAAACTCCCCAAAGAACCACAGAACAAGGCAGAGTGGCGTGGAGAACATAACGACGCTGGGCTGGGCTGCTAATGCTGATGGCGATTCGAATTAGCGGAACTCGATGCCTTACTCTTGTGTGCCCAAAAGCTGACTAGCCGCAGGCTTAGCCATTTAGCAGCCGCCGAGGACTGGACAGAAGTTCTGGTCCATGATGAGGCCGCGCTCTGATTGAATGCTTCGCATCACACGCTTGGCCTCAAGGGGCCTTAGGGCATCTGCAGCGGCGCACGGTGCGAGCGCCTCCATACTGCGTGTTTGCCGTCCTAACGCCAGGTACGAGGCTAACAGCCTGGAGGTACTGCTTGGTCTGGTCCAAAGTTGCGAGAGACTGCATCTACCGTACTGTGCTGTGCTGTGCTGGGTGTCACCAACATTAACCACGCTGGTAAGCATGTGCTGGATGAGCAGCGGTGCTCCTTGAACTTGTGCTGTGCTGCTTTGCAGAGGTCGGGTGTCTCAGCATGGAAAGCGTTGTAATACTTGAATGCTCAAAGACGACAGAACACGACGAGATCAACGCCATACTGCGCAACTTAATCGTCGTTTACTCGAATGAGTACGAGATGATACGGCCAAGACTGAAGACATACCGATAACAAAGGTACCCGGTGCTATCGGCCGTGTGGTGTTAGTGCTTCAGATAGCATGGACCTGGTTTCTGGTACTAACGGGATCGGAGCACGGAACCTGGATTGCATTATGGAAGAAGCAACGCCGATGAGGCGATGTCGAAGCCGGCTTGGTCTAGTATCAGCCACTGCTTCCTCCTGCCCATGATGCTAATTGTCATCTCGACAAATTCATAATGAATTAGTAATTCCAGGTCTTTGGTTTTCAGGAATTTTTAAGTTTGCTGTTGGTAGGACTATACGGTCAAATGGTGTAGTATGAGGCAATAGGCGCACGTCCATTCGTATGTAGAGCTGTCCATGCTTGAAAATACAGCCAAGGCAACATTACATACCTACCTACTTACGATCTCAAAAGCCTTACACTGTGCAATGTACGAGTACAATCCGATACCCTCGCAATACCACTACCGCCCAACAACGCTCGCTTAACCCGAGCAACTAGATGATCTTCACCGGTCCCACTGCAGCCCGGCAGCTCTCTCGTTTCGGATGCTGCTGCTGTGGCTGTGTCGTGTTGAGCTCTCCAATCTCCTGATCAATGTGACCCTGTCCCGCCAGCTAGACCTGAAGCCTTTGTGCGTGCGTCGAGAGAGAAGACTAACTAAACAGCTGTGACCTGCTTGGTAGTAGTATAAGCGATATCACGGCGGATTTGGGGGCGTGTGTGTGTGTGTGAGTGGATGGATGGCCTTTTAATCTATTCGTCTGGCTCTTGCCGAGCTTCATAATGCATGCAGGATGCAAGCAGTGCAGGATGCTGCAAATAAAGCTACAAAGGCCAGTTTTCTTTGGCCCTTGGCCCTCTCCACATCACATGGTAATCGTACCAAGTGAATAAACCTGCAGGATACATGCAGTTATGCGGCGTGTTGTCTCGAATTATCAGTTGCCTCATACAAGCATTTTAGAGCACGTATGATGGTGGCCTGTTTTTGTCCATGGAGCAAGAAAAAAATCGCCACTTGCTATTCATGAGAAAACATGGAATTTATCCTTTCTGATTTTTTCTGAAGTGCAGACTGAAATCTTTTTTCATTGTGAAGAAAAGAAAGAGAAAACTCATCTTCAGTTTCAGTGCACGGCTAGTTCAACAACCCGACATCATACTATTTCTAATTATGTCTGACATCGCAGATAAGCTCCCGTCAGCATCTTGAATGCTACTTCGATCGAACATCAGCCCAAATCGAAACGAATTACGACAGAAAAACAAAAGATGAATTCTTCCAGATTTCGTCCAGCTTCGAGCGATGATCCTTCTTGAAAATAAAGCCAATGCGACCTTGCCATTGACACTACGCACTCGTCCGTCTCATCCAGCAAGCAAACATGCCACGGCCCTCTCTGCCCATTGTGGACAATTGCTCTCCTTGACTTGCGTTGGTCGTTCACCAGCCCATTGGCACTTAGAAACAGCTGTTGTTTCCATCCGTGCTTTAGATCTTCGTAGCTCCCGACACCAGATCGGCGACGCTCACTCGTGCCTGAAGATTGTTGAGCCAGAATAATACGGAGGCGTTGATCATCAAGAGCTAGTCCTAGCAGCTATTTCTAGACCTCGGCTCACCAACTGTCCAGCTTCCAGCTTCATGCTACGATAGAGAAGCTCTCTATGGTATGAGCCGTATCTCTGCCTCAAGCACCAATGCCCCTATACAAGCTCTTTCCGATATCGAAGTGATGCCTCCAATCAATGCCGTAATGATGCCCGAGCTCCTGGTATCCATCAGGTATCGCAGCTAGGCAATCAATTCATGAATTAGCTGTGGGTCTGCATGCTGTGATCGGCTACAGTGTTATTGACACAGTCACACACGCACTCAACGGCTATGCAAGCAGCCAAGAGGTCCTCTCAGGTCCTTTCCGAGCATTGATCCATTCTGATCCATTCTGCGAACTAGGGCCCCATGACGGCATGACGGGCTGCATCTCTGCATTTCTAGCCATGGGCCATGATAGCTTGACGGCATGAGATTTCCATTCCATTGCTAGACAGATCTAGGAACCCTCGTGGTGTAAGTTTCACGCCGCGGCAACACTAGCAACGCCAGCCGCCGAAAGCAATATACTTGAAACGCTGCTCCAGGTCCAGCCAGACAAGAAGAAGCAGACGGGAAAAGAAAACGCAGGGCCAGCCCATGAGGTCACCGAGGCGAAGGAGGAAACAAGGCATGTTTACTTGGGGACAAGAAAAACCCAAACGCACCATCACGTCACTTGTTGGCAAGAAAAAGCAATAGCTCGGCCACCACCCCCGAACCAAGCTTCTGTTCCAATCTGATCGGCCATCCATCCTCGCTTGACCGACCCCAGACTCTCTCCCAAGGGCCAGTTCCTCAGACCCCCCCTTTGAAGGAGGTTGTTCCTGGACCCATATCAAACGAGGTCAGGTGCACAACGTCGTCCAGGGCCCACAGCTTCTTTACGGCCTAGAGTGGGCAGAAGCGTCACAGTTGATGCATCAAGTCTTCGGAATGCGAGTCGGCAGAGCGGCTCTGCCATTCGCTGATTCGCCCGTCTGTCCATGCACGTTCACTGACCGACATGCTGCTAACGTGCATGTTTTGAGTCACAGACGATGATTTGGAGGCTTGAGGATTTCCCATTCTCGACCTTGGAACTGGAGCACGGATTTTCTCGTCTGGGTCTCCATTCGACCTGCTGCCGGTCTAATTCCTTTTGCTCTTTTGCATTCGCAAGGGTTGCCTTTATGCACACTAGTCCTGTGCGTGGGAGGCCGCCCATGTGATTGAATTGGCTAGTATCTTGATTCTTGCATTTTGCTGGCTTTCTTTTCTCAGTCCTTCCCAGCAGCCGGGGACGCACATCTGCCCATTGTTTTCTCTCTCTCTCATCGCAGCATCCCTGGCCAGGTGTCACTTGCGCTTCCCGTTGTCAGGCACGAGTCAATCTACATGAAAGAACGCTTATTTCTCACGGGCTTGCTTGCCCACACGCGGCGTGCTGGAACCAATTTTCTAAACAGAAAAGCAGGGTCCAAGAGGAATGATTATGATTACCAACTTCTTATTTGACAGGTACCCATCCATCCATTCTCTCCCTTACCTACACACGACCCCAAAAAAATCTGAACCCCAATCTTCGAAAAATCCTGCCCGCCCCTCGGTTTACCCCAACTCCTCCTCCATGGCGGGGCCCCCGGCCATTTCTTTTGCGACTCCCCCGGATTCTGAACCTCAATCGGGCTCAAGTCGCTCTGCTGACCAGGAACCCTTGGGGGGGCGGGCGGTCTGTGGTAGCGCACTTGGGACACCATCGTGATACCCCTGTTTCCCCAGATTCTTCGACTAGCTCTTCGGGCTCCACGGCCATGCAAAGTTGGAAATGGAACAGGCGACGAGCCGTTTGTGGGATTTTTTCCTGGAGGTCGCGGTTCATTTGGGTGGTGTGGCACCTCCGTTTTCTTTTTTTCTTTGGGGAGATGTCTTTCCCATCACACATGCCCCATTCGAGCAATGTCTCAAGGAGATCCGTCGTAGAGTAAAGACCGTGCTTTCGTACATACATGTGGTCAGCTCCCCGGAATTTCCGGCCCTGGAAACACCGTTGCTCTAGGTCAAGCTGCTTGCACAGGCAATCCTTGTTCCAGCTGGACGGGAACCAAATGGTACACCAGGACCAGTCATTGCCTGACGATAACAACTCTTACTACATGTGAATATCCACTTAAAACGCCGGTCAAAATATCTCCAGAGCTCCCCGAGTTAGCCGGCGAACTTCGGACATGGAAGCCGGCATTAGCTGCTTTGCGGTAGCCATTCAGCCATTCTCCAGATTTTCTAGAGGCCTTCGTACTACTCGTTTCACACTGGGTCTTGTTTTTTGGGCCCCAATCATTTCATACTATGAATTAGTAGTCGTATTTAGAGCCGAATACTCGGCTATTGGTTTAGCCGCTTTGTTAACAAAAAGGGGAATTGGTTTGCAAGCGCGAGCAAGAGCTTTACCGAAGAGAGATGTTGAGCTTCATCAATAACTCTAGTGCAGCTAATGAGAAGGCGGCTTCGCCTCGCCTTCACATTGGGAAGCTACCATTCCTCAGTGTGGACAAAAAGGGCGCGCATCAAGTATGGATTTACGACCAACGGCAAATGGAGCCTCACCTCGGGGTCACATCTCATACAAGATGGACACACCCAACTTGACTCCAAAGACGGGATCACTGTTCCTTTGGCGTCATTGGGGCGAGCTTTCGCATTGGCGCCTGGAGCTCCGGAGCAAGCTGCATGAACCTAGGACCCGGGCCAGAGGCAGCAAGTTAGTTGGGGGAAGGTCTGAGAATCCTGCCACGCCAAAAATGTCCCACGTGCTCGGGTACAGCTCCGGGAGCTGGCCTCTTGAATGTTTGTTTGTTCGACAGAGTTGGTTGTCAGCCAGCCACGAGGTGTGTTCCGTCTCCCCTAATTA